CACGGAGACGGGTATCCTCCTGTCCCCGTCAAGCTACTTTTCAAGGACGAAGGGGTTGGTGGGCGCCTTGACAGCCGTGTCGGGGGGCCAGGACCTTTTTTTGCAGGTCCTCAATTCGGGACCCTTGCCGGTCGTAGTCCCGGCCGGCACCGTCCTGGCACACGCAACCCCGGCTCCTCCACCCGGGAGCGCTGCCCCGGATGGAGGGGTCGTGGCGGGCGTGATGCGCACGGGGGACCCCGACGCATCATGGATCGCCACGTTGTGCGACGAGAATGCCTCGTTGTCCTCCGGGGAACGTCGGCAACTCCGCGACCTCATCGAGCGGTTCACCGATGTGTTCAGCCAAAGTAAGTTTGATCTGGGTCGCACTACTCTTTTGGACCACCACATAGACACGGGCGACGCGGCCCCTATTCGACTTAATTCCCACCGCTTTAGCCCAGCGGAAAAAGATCATGTCCGCTCGGCTGTCGAGGAAATGTTGGCGGCGGACATCATCTCCCCATCTACTAGCCCTTGGGGTGCCCCCATTGTGCTAGTCAAGAAACGGGACGGGAGTCTCCGGTTCTGCGTCGATTTTCGTAAATTGAACAAGATCTCGGTGGCTGATGCATATCCATTGCCTCGCATGGATGATTCCTTGGACGCCCTCTCGGGCGCGCGGTTCTTTTCGACTTTAGATTTGCTCTCCGGCTTCTGGCAATTGCCACTGGATGAGGCCTCTAGACCCAAAACAGCGTTCCGCACGCCCCAGGGGTTGTTCGAGTTCAATCGGCTTCCTATGGGTCTCCATTCGGCCCCGGCCACCTTCCAGCGTCTCATGGAGATGGTCTTGGCGGGGCTGAAGTGGGAGTCTTGTCTAATCTACTTGGATGACGTTATTGTTTTTGGCCGTACGTTTGGCGAGCACTTGCAACGCCTTGAGGCGGTGTTCGTCAAAGTGCGTGCTGCTGGCTTGAAATTCAAACCCCAGAAATGCCACTTGCTACAACCATCGGTGAGGTATTTGGGACACATTGTTAGCACGTCAGGTGTCGCCACGGACCCGGATAAAACGGCTTGTGTCCGGACGTGGCCGACTCCCACATCTGTCGCGGAGGTGCGTAGCTTTGTTGGATTCGCATCGTACTATCGCCGGTTTGTCCGCGATTTTGCGACAATTGCGAAGCCACTGCACGCCCTTTCCGCCAAAGGCCAAAGGTTTCACTGGGGCGCGGAGGAGGAGGCGGCTTTTGCGGCGCTTCGCACGGCCTTGGCGGATGCGCCGCCCTTGGGGTACCCAGATTTTACGAAACCCTTCCTGCTCGATACCGATGCCAGCGACACGGGAATTGGGGCTGTCCTGGCCCAGGTGGTCGACGGGGTTGAGAGAGTGGTAGCCTATGGCAGTCGCGTTCTGTCCTCGACGGAACAGCGATATTGTGTGACCCGGAGGGAGCTTTTGGCCATAGTTTATTTTGTTCAGTTGTATAGACCATATTTGTACGGTAGGCTGTTTACGGTCCGAACCGACCACGCGGCCCTGCAATATTCGCTGAAGATTAGTCAGCCCTCGGGTCAGCTGTCTCGCTGGCTCGAAGTGCTCCAGGATTACCCTTTTGATGTAATCCATAGGAAGGGGACACAGCATGGAAATGCGGACGGTTTATCCCGATTGCCGGCAGGCGGCGGGTGTGCTTGCGCCCTGGGCTCTAGCCGTTGCAAGGCCCCAGGGGACGCCGCGGCCCAGTTGGTCGCGTCGGCCGAGGCAGACACCCCTCCAGGTGCGGCGTCGACCGCGGATTTCGGCCTTGGACTTCCCCGGGAGGTATGGTCCGGCTTGCAGATGGAGGATTCCTCTCTGCTGAAGCTACGGCGCCGTGTCGGACATAACGCCCGGAGCTTAGCTTCGTCGGCTGCCCCGGCGATCGCCGTGCATGACGGACTACTCATGCGTTGGGATGCCCAATTGGAACGCTATTGTGTGGTTGTGCCCACTAGCCTGCGTGGTAAATTAACCCGAGCCATTCACGAGAAGCTTATGCACCTTGGCTACCACAAGACCTTATTGACCCTTAAGCGGGACTATTACTGGCCGGGTGTTGAGGGTGACGTAGCACTGATTTTGAAGGGTTGCCACGACTGCGCGCGGAGGAAGGCCCCAGTTGTCCAGGACCGGGCCCCGCTGCAGTCCATCCGGGTTTCTCGCGTTAATGAGCTCGTGGCTCTCGACATTTTGGGGCCATTCCCTGCATCCCAACGGGGCCACAAATACCTCTTGGTGGGCGTTGAGTACCTCACACGTTGGCCCATGGCATGGCCTTTGGTCGATCAGTTGGCCTCTTCTATCACCGAGGCCTTCGTCCAGGGGTACGTGTTTGACAAGTGCGCGCCGGAACAATTGTTGACTGACCAGGGGCGGAATTTCTCGTCTAGGTTGCTCAAGGAGGTGTGTGACCTCCTTGGCACCAAGAAAATCCGCACCTCGCCCTACCACCCCCAGTCAGACGGGATGGTAGAGCGCTTGAACCGCACCCTTACGTCCATGCTGTGCCACCAGGTGAACACGTCCCAGTCAGACTGGGACCTGTTCGTCCCGGGGGTCTTGGCGGCGTATCGGTTGGCCCCTCATGCCTCCACGGGATTTTCGCCTTTTTATTTGATGTACGGTAGGGAACCGGAGCCCCCGGTGCACGTCCAGATGGACGTTGGCTCCTCCAAGAAGGGGTCGGCGGTGCCGACCCCTTTGAAGGTCGCGCTTGACCGGCTGCGCGAGGCGCGACAGGCCGCTGCCGAGAATTCCGCAAGCCGGCAGGCGGCTAATGAGCGGCTGCCAAAACACCAGGCAGCTGGCCTCCCGTGGGTAGCGGGTCAAAAAGCGTGGCTGCATTGTCCCCAGGTCCCCGTTGGCAAATCGGCCAAATTGCATCGCCCTTGGCAGGGACCCGTGGAGGTTGTGGAGGTCCGCCGGCCGCAATGCGTCCGGATTCGATTCGGTCGCAGGCAGTGGATAGTGCACCCGTCCCGGCTCAAACGTTATGTTCCATCTACCCTGGGGGATCCACCCCCAATTCCGGAGCGGCCGGCTGATGATGTATCCGGCGTGCCTGACCGGCCGGGTCTCGTTGACGGAGGTGACGTCCGACCTGTGTGTGTGCCCCCAGGCCCCTCCCGAGTGAGGCCGACAGAGACCCCCCAGGCACCGGAGGCCACGGCGGTGGGCCTGTTGCCCGCTGACGGGCCACCTGCACGGGTGGCGGATACCGCACGAGGGAGCGGGCCAGCAGCGCATACCCGCTCGAGGGGGATGCGGCTCCGGTGACGGCCCTGATGGCCGTTCAGCGGGCCCAGCCCCTGGCGCCCGTTCGGCGCTATCCGGCGGATGAGGCCTTCGGGCTCTATTTGTTTTGTTTTTTGTTGTTACTGTTCTGCTTGAAGGGCCGTGCTGCCCTAAGGTTGAGTTTTCTAGCAGCCGGGTTTACCTTCAGGCACACGAACTCGTGATTATTCGGTCTTCGGTCCGGTGTGGGGCCCCGCTTGCGGGTTGATTGCAGCCGGGTCGGCTGTTTTTTTTTCACGGGGGGGGGGGGGTGATGTAGAGGAGTAGAGGAGAGTGGTGGCGTCGTGTGCGCTGTCCGGTGCGGTGACCTCACGGGACGTGGGGTCGCACGCGCTGGGCAGTGCACGTGACATCACCCCTCCGAGGGTATATAAGGGAGACCCCGTAACGTAAGCGGGGTCACTGGAGGAACGGGGATAGTGGAAGGGGTAAAGAGGGAACCAGGGATAGTGATAAGTGTTAATAAACCCTGGCGGAAGCCCCTAACTCAACCTCCGTCTCCGAGTACCTCCGTCTACGATACAACATTTGTACTCTATGGCTGTGCCATAGCCATGTGTGTTTTATATGTACCAGGGCCTTAACTGTGATTTAATAAATGAACCGTGTTCATACATGCCCACAAACTGAAGACGTGCTTGTAGGATGACTACTTCAACATATCCTTCGTGGGGGAAAAAAATGTAGAAATGGACACTTAAATCATCTAAACCTAGACAACTCGGTCAATTTATGTAGGGAAAATAGAATTTATTTGTGGCCATCTTAAACAAATGGCTGTCAACTTGGATTTTCAAGCGGCTAACGATATCTTGTCTGAAAAGACCCGCCATCGTGGACACATCTTGCATGTTTCCTGCTTGCATCACAATATATAAACGAGTCCCGTGAAAATGTTTTTACTTCTCTGCTTCCCTATAAAATATGTTAGTGAGTGAAAAAAAATGTCATTAGGCACAACAGAATGAACCCCTAAATAAGAGGCTCACATTTGCAGGTGTGATAAATTGTGTAGTCTGTGTCCTTCGTCCAAAGAATAATTATCAGCAGCGTCCAGAGGATGATGAACAGCAGCGCGGCCAGGCCGATTTGAGCGTGTCTCAAGCCACAGTGAGTCCACCATCGCATCAGCCTGGGTTTCTTGCTGCTTTCTGTGTCTCCCATGAACCGTCTATGTTCACCAGAGGCCACCATTTAACGTGGTCCACTTCCAACAGTCGCCCGGAAAGAGGTCTACAAGAGAGGAGCAAAAGAAGACAAATAGCAAGAGACAGGGGCTCCATAATTTTTCTTTAGTCAACATTTGCCCTGACATTATATAATTAAAGTGATGAATACATCTCAAGAAGTGTGGGAATAACCCTTCAATATTTAAAGCATTATTTTCTCTCTCGTATTCCAATTGTGTTATTGGTTTTATGTTATGAAGAATTCTTTCAGAAATCTCATGGAGTATAAATAAATAATAATTTAGGTGATCTTTGTATGATTTCCAGAGAACAGGTCACAATTTTTTCAGATCCATTTTTAAAACCGCAGTCTTAAAATTTCAGCCAAATTAAGTAAAATAAAAATAATACATAACAGTTTGCTCTCCTGTCATTGAGGATCAGGTTAAGTCCGTAAACTGTTTGCATTTTAGGAAATGGTATCATAGGTGGCTACTTGGAAGATGGCGGCGCACACAGTTGCAGCAGCTCAGTGTCTACCCGGTCGGTGCCTTGTATGGTTGTTTATGTTCGCGTTATGTCTTGTTTTGTGTTCATTTTGTCGGGCGAGTAACACCTTTAGCCGGCACGATCTCCTTAAGATCGGACTATGTTACGATCGGAGTGTTACAAGCGAGTTTCTCCGTCTTCACAAGATTCCAGTGGAGTTAGCGAGGAGGCCCGGCTCTCCGTGGATTATCATCCCGGCGGGGAGGAGGCGAAGGCGGCGTAGAGAGAGAAGACGGAGGCGAGGCTGCAGGGCCGGTGCGCTAGCCAGGCTACGGAGGCAGCCACTTAAACCACCGCTACCCAGCCTATTTCTCATGAACGCCAGATCCATCGCGAACAAAATGGATGAATTGAGGCTACAGACTACAGCGAGCAACGTAGTGAAGGACAGCTGCATTCTGCTTTTCACAGAAACCTGGCTTCATTCATCCATCCCGGACTCTGCTATTGAGCTTGCAGGCTACACAGCACAGCGCCAGGACAGAACAGTAGACTCCGGTAAGAGCAGAGGAGGGGGGCTCTGTGTGTACGTGAATAAGAGCTGGTGTACTAACACTGTGACTGTAGACAGCCACTGCTCCCCAGATCTGGAGTATGTGACTGTTAAATGCAGGCCGATTTACCTCCCAAGAGAGTTTACTGTGGTCATGATAACTGCTGTTTACATCCCACCGGATGCTAATGCTAACTTAGCTATTGGACTTTTACATGGCAGCATTAGCATTCAGCAGAGCAAGTATCCTGACGCTGTGCTGATTATAGCAGGGGATTTCAACCATGCAGACTTAAAAGCAGCACTCCCTAAATTCCACCAGCATGTTAAGTGTGCTACTAGGGGAACTAACATTCTGGACAAGGTCTACACCAACATCAAACTAGGCTACAGGGCTAGACCACTACCACACCTGGGCCAGTCTGACCATTTGTCCCTGCTTTTGATCTCTGCATACGCCCCCATCAAGAAAACGGCTCCTACCATCACAAAAACTGTCGCCATCTGGCCTGAGGGTACCACCCAGCAGCTGCAGGACTGCTTTGATAGGACCGACTGGGGGGTCTTCGAACATCAGGACCTGGAGGTGTTCACATATAGTGTATTGTGCTACATTAAAAACTGCATAGACACTGTCACTGTGGACAAACGCGTTCGGGTCTACCCCAACCAGAAGCCCTGGATGACCCGGGAGGTCCAGCAACTGCTGAAGGAGAGGAATATCGCCTTCAACTCCGGAGACAAAGCTCTCTACAGTACAGCCCGAGCTAACCTGAAGAGAGGCATCCGCAAGGCCAAAGCAGACTACAGGAGGAGGATTGAGGAACGCCTGGACAGTCACGACAGCAGGCAGGTGTGGCAGGGAGTCCAGCACCTCACCAACTACAGGGCCAACCGCGGAGCTGCTGATGGTGACAACGCTCTGGCAGAGGAGTTGAACCTCTTATTTGCCCGCTTTGAGGTGACACCACAAGGGACAGCATCACCAAACCTCACGGTCCACAGCAGCTTAAACCTCACAGTAGAGGAGCATGAGGTGAGGCGCACGCTGCGGGCCGTCAACCCGAGGAAGGCTGCGGGACCTGATGGCGTCCCGGGACGTGTGCTGAGGGACTGTGCTGACGAGCTGGCTGGAGTCTTCACAAGGATTTTCAACCTGTCTCTGGAACAGTCCACTGTACCAACCTGCCTAAAGTCCTCCACCATAGTCCCGCTGCCCAAAAAAACCCACATTTCCAGCTACAACGACTACCAGTCAGTAGCACTCACGCCAGTGGTGATGAAGTGCTTTGAAAAACTGGTCCGGAGTCACATCATAGGAAGCTTGCCCAGAAACCTTGACCCCCACCAGTTTGCCTACAGAGCGAACCGATCCACGGAGGACGCCGTGGCCACAGCACTACATGCTGCACTGTTACACCTGGAGCAGCCGGGGAGCTATGTGCGGATGCTCTTCGTGGATTACAGTTCCGCGTTCAACACCATCCTCCCACACAAACTGGTGGAAAAACTGGGCGACCTGGGGATTCCACATTCCACCTGCATGTGGATATATAGTTTCCTCTCGGGCCGCAGACAGAGGGTCAGAGTGGGCCGTCATACATCCACAGCCCTGAGCCTCAGTACCGGCTCCCCCCAGGGCTGTGTACTGAGCCCCCTGCTCTACTCCCTCTACACACATGACTGTGCCGCCGTCCACCATAGCAACACGATTGTGAAGTTTGCTGATGACACCACAGTGGTGGGGCTCATCTCTGGGGGGGATGAGTCTGCCTACAGGGACGAGGTGGAGCGGCTGACAGCATACTGCAGGGGCAACAACCTGCTCCTTAACACCGCAAAGACCAAGGAGCTCATAATAGACTACAGGAGAAAGAAAACGGACACTCCACCACTAAATTTCGATTTAAAGCTTTCGTGACTGCAGGGATTCATCTTTTTGGTTCTTTCGGTAAAGTCACGTAGAAGGGAAGTAATAAAATAATAAAAATAAAACATAATAAAACAATTCTCACGACGTTTCGGCCACAACGCAAGCAGCCGTCCTCAGGTGAAAACCAGGTCCGTCGAGGCGACAGAGTCTGAATGAAACAGCACACGAGCTTGGAGCATATATATAAGCTGGGCGCATTGATATGCAAATTCCTTTGTCAATGCGCCCAGCTTATATATATGCTCCAAGCTCGTGTGCTGTTTCATTCAGACTCTGTCGCCTCGACGGACCTGGTTTTCACCTGAGGACGGCTGCTTGCGTTGTGGCCGAAACGTCGTGAGAATTGTTTTATTATGTTTTATTTTTTTATTATTTTATTACTTCCCTTCTACGTGACTTTACCGAAAGAACCAAGAAGATGACTCCACCACTAATCATCAGCGGGGACTGTGTGGAGAGGGTGGCAGACTTCTGCTTCCTGGGAGTCCACATTGGGGAGGGCCTGACCTGGAGCGCCAACAGCACTGAGCTTCTGAAAAAGGCCCAGCAGAGACTTTACTTCCTGAGAATTCTCAGGAATAATAACATCACACAGAAACTGCTGGTGTCCTTCTACCGAGCCTCCATCGAGAGCATTCTTACATACTGCATCTGTGTATGGTACACCAGCTGCACAGTGGCTCAGAGGAAAGCGCTCCAGAGGGTCATCAACACAGCCCAAAAGATCGCCGGCTGCCATCTCCCCACACTGGAAGAACTACACAGTTCACGTTGCATCAAAAAAGCACAGAACATTATAAAGGACTCTTCTCACCCTGGACACTCACTGTTTGAGCTGTTGCCATCAGGCAGACGATTCAGATCAGTCAAAACAAGGACAAACAGATTCAAACAGAGCTTTTATCCTACAGCGATCACCACACTCAATAATGCTAATTAATTATTAAGTAATAGTGTTTACAATTGACTGTGAAATAGAGATGTGCAATGACAAAATGTAACCGTATGTGGGTATGTGGGTATACTTGGGCTGTTTTTTATATATAGTATAAATTGATTATCTTTCATTTAATTTTATTTTTATTTTCTTGTTTTATTTAATTTAAATTTATGAATGATGCCCTGACTGGTGAGCATTTTAAATTTCGTTGTACTGGTGACAATGACAATAAACGATCTATCTATCTATCAAACCCATTATCTCAACGATTCTGGCTGAGCACTCTGACCCCTGAGTGACCCGACCTGTTCTCGGTCATTACTGTGCATTCAAACATTTTAAACAGCATCTTCACAAATGTTGCTACAAGCTTAGTTATTATTGTCGTGCAGCTTAAACACACAAGAGTTACGCAGCGGATGAAAATATCCTGCCTCTTGACTGATTCGGAGTTAAATCTCTAATGCCAAATCAGAATTGGTCAAAAAGCACATTTCCCATGTATGGAAACGCGTCCACTCTAGGCCACTGTCGGTAGCCTAAAAGAGGCCTAGAAATAGGGTTTCGTTCCACCAAGTGGGGCACTACCTACTTTTTTATATTTAACATCAGAAATATATAGATATTCCTTAGGAAAAAGTTCTCCGCACACAACCTTGCAGTTTTTGAGAAAAATTATGCTAAAGGTGCCCATTTTGAAAAAAAGGGAAACCATAGGGAATTTTGCACTTTCAAACCTGTTTATCATATAAACCCAAAAATGCAGAATTACCACTTGAAGTACAAAATAAACCAGTTTGAAATGTGTGATATACCTGAAGTTGCTATCTATGCACAGTAAACATGATAAGATTATCAAGAAAACTTCTACTGTAGCATTAACATCCCAATTACTTCTCAATATGTTGTTCCAATTCAAAGGTAATATTTGAGGTAAAATCTGAATAACAAATAGAATTAAGCCAACATATAATATATAAAAAAAAACACTTTTCAAAATAACACATTTAATGGTGAATTGTCAATTCGCATACACGAGCAGTAACTGCACTACATGTACATATTCACAGGAATGATTATTGTAAACAAGATTTAATTTTGATTGATTTATATTAAATATATATGTCCTATATTAATTTTATTATCATATACACATCACTAAATATCAAGATCACTGTCCTCACTATCAGATTCACATGAAACAATATCCTCAGTTAATCTCACATTGTCACAATGAACACATTTACATAGGTCAGTGCAGGCCAGGCCAGCCTTGTGGCATGAGCACCTTCCACCTGTACAAGTACCAGACTTACACCCACAGTGGAGTGACCCCAAAATCTGTTGAGGAGCTGGATCTGTAGTCATCCATGATATGATGAGATCACCATCCTTGACAATCCATCCAAAGCCGTCTGGACTGGGTGCATTTATAAAAGGATCCAATGCTCTCCTGTGGATTGCAGCTTGGTAGTTAGCACGCTTGAAGTGCTCTGTAAGTGCATCTTTTGTTGGAGGTAATGCCTGTTCGGAAGAGGCCTGGACACAGAACCTATTGTATCTGGCCAAATTAACATCTGATACCTTTTCTCCATACAGCTCACACACAAAACGTTCTATGGTCACAAATGTGGTGCTGTCCATTTCAAATTGCCTCCCAAGAGCAATACAATCCATTGATGTACTCTGCAATTCCAGACACTATATTTAGTGGTTTCTCTTTTCCTTTCCCATAAAAGGAACTAGTTGAGTCACAGCCAGTGAATGTGTGTAGTCCTATCAGTGCCTCTGTTAGTGAAGGACCCAAAGCAGAACCAATAGCCTGGAGATCTAACATTCTTTGCCTGTCTTTTGTTCCTGTCAGAAAGTACATCTTTGCTGAGGGAAGCTTAGCCATTATTGAAAGTGAAATGATAGCAACATCAGTGTCAGGACTCTGGATGATTATCTTATTATAAAGTTCACTCCAGGCATGTTTTGCATGAAGTAGGAGCCTCGTGTCAGCTTCTTCATGGTCACAGGTCAAAGATTCTACCTCTTTGACAGACATAATGCCATCTTTAAGAGTGAGTTGATGACATACATTTCTGTGTGCCACAAAGATAGCTATGTCTTTTCCAGCTGCTTGTAAAGGCACAGTTCTCTATGTCTCAAAGAGAAAGTCTGTCAAGGCTTTTTTATTTTCACCACTGGCTAGAAACTTGGTCCACTGACTTGGAGTCTTCTGCTTGATGCTGTATATTTGCAGTAATTGTTGTCCAGCAACAGCACGTCTTGATCGTTCAGCATTTTTGATGCTCACTGCCGGGTAGCGATCAATGACAAAATCGACCCTTGGACATCTGAACTTTCTACCCATCTTAATCATAAGTTGAAGAAGATCATCAGCAAGCTCACCGAATGTGTCTGGTATATTCTTGAGACTCCTGATCAATGCCATGCCATCTATCAGTAGGACACCATTATCACCAACAGTCTTGTTCACATGACAGTCCTTGTTCTTTGATTCTAAACAAGCTAGAAGAGCAGCCTTATTTGTTTTGGCTAATGAACCATCAGTGCTTGCTAGCGGGGATGAGATATTGGCAAGTAAATATGTCAGAATCTCTTTCAAGTTTACAGACCGGGATTGACATATCACTAACAGTCGTGCAAAGAGTCCCTTGTCATTTTTTAGAATGACTTTATTTCCATCTTTTGTCTTGGATGATGTCTTCATTTGATCCCCAAACGTAGTGAGCTTCAAGGACTTTATTGGAGAGAAGAAGTCTGTTTTTGATGACTGGACTCGATCTTGGATGAAAATTTTCAGAGCTGTTTCACCTTTATCACAAGCACTTTGTATGTCATCTCTGACAGTCTTTGTAGCAACAACACCAGAGCTAATACATACAAGATCTTCACGAGGCAGGAAGGGATTGATCATAGACTCAACCGCTGAAACCAAAGATATAACAGTAGCATTGTCTTTTGCAATTCTTGTTGCATCCAACTCTTTACGACCCCTCTCTTCATGTTGCATTCCAGCCATCATTTCACACTGCCTTGTGATTGCAGAACGTTCAGGATGAGACAGTATCCATCGCTGGACGGCACCTCTGTTCAATGTTATCCCAGTTATGCCACCTTTGGTCTTTGAATCACGGTTGCAGGTTCGTTCTATTGCTTGGTCACAAGCTATGGATGAGAACCTGTTAGCATCCTTACGCTGTACTGTCCAGTTTCCTTTTGCAGTAACTTCTTCATAGCAGTGTGGATGAGTCTTTGGAAGATTGATCATCTCGACCCAATATGCTGATAGGTACCTTGCATAATTTTGGCGGTACGTCTCACTGTTGCTTAATGAAGGCTCCAGTCAGAGTCTGGTTGCTCTAATGAAACTCAGTAACAGTTGAACCATTTCAATGTATGAGCTCCAAAGTCCAAAGGTGGGATTAACAGAGTTCATCTCATGTACATATCTATCATAGCAGGACAGCATATCTGATATGTCAGACACTGAGTTAGATGAAAATCCTGCCTCAGACTTGTACTCTCGTACTAGATCTTCCATGGCTGATGTAACGAGTGTGCTGTTGCTCAGGAAGGGACTGAATAAATGACCTCAACCGCAAGATATGCATTGCCTCAAATAGGAGTTTGTATGCACATATGCTACGGTTGTAGTGATGTCCACTAATGACTCCATTTATTGAACCAACAGTTACCACATTTGATTTAATCAGCATATCCTGTAGTCCTGCTTCTTTGAAACGTTTGCCTATCACTGCCATAAAGGACATGGCTGTGTGGAACTCACCTAGTCTTGGGATGATACGCTGCATTGAGCTTGATCGCTGCTATCAGATTAAGCTGCGCTGCTTACGTCCTCCTCCATGTTTACACGTGCGTAGTGATATTGGCCTGATTTTGGCTCTGACCTACTTACATTTTCGATGCTGATTGGTTGAAAATCTAGCTCAACAGTTTTATATGTCTCAATACGCAGTCAATATAGTGCGCCAATAAATTACACTTTTCTCATTAACTGCAGGATAATGCGTGGAGAACTTTTTGCTTGGATAGCTTTTATTAACGTTGAACATATTGAGCAAAAGAAAAAGTAGTGCCCCATTTGTCGGAACGAAACTGAACGACACAGCTCACATACAGCGGCCTTTTGGGCTTTCCAACCTCACCTCGTGGCCTTGTTTTTTATTTGTACTGTTAGTCTTTATTCAACGGTTTTACTTAACGTGACTCCTATGTTTTTTCGCGGTCAAATCTTGTAATCAAAATGTAGTCTACTCCTGTTGTCCAATGCATTACAAATTTTGCACACGTACTCAGATCCGGTGACAATACATGCCTGTGTAGAGAAGTTCCGACGGACGTACTCGGAGACGGAGGTAAGTTATGGGCTTTCGCCAGGGTTAATTAAAGCTGTTACAATATTACACAAGGTACACACTCCCAGGGGCTAGGGGTCCTACTCTGAGTCCGGGTCATTGCCGGCTAGCTCCGGTCTCTCTCTCTCGTGTCGGATCGTGGACTCTGCCGACTCCACCGACCGAAGAGAGAAGCACCTCTACGGCTACCACCGGCTTCTCCCCAGACACCCTATTCGAACCCTCTCTCTACCCCTGGTTCCTTCTTCACCCTGCTTACTCTACCCGTTCCTACAGTGACCCCGCCTACGTCACGGGGTATCCCTTAAGTACCCTAGGAGACGTGACGTCATCACACTGATCGGCACACCTGACGTCACGTCCCCATTTTACTCCTCTACACCTGTATCAAATAATCAATTAATTGGCTCTTTAAAAGCAATTAACATTTTGTATGGACGGCTTATTAATTAAATATTTATTTGGGGAGGTCAAAAACGCCGCGGTCCCGAAACTCTGGAATCGCCTCGCCCAAGAAGCAGACGCCTTGTGTCTTAGGCGCGCCGGCTCCGTGTCAACGAGTTACACGAGTAATCAATTCATTCAAGTAAGCGTAGATGTGGGAGCAGGCGCCGCATCATTGAAGTACTTCTCGACCGCGAGTTAAACGAAGTTGTTAATAAAACCGTTGTTTTAAAAAATATATGTTTTTAAGGAGTTTATTTCTACTCTATCGACTAATAGGTAATTCTCCACTTACCAGTGTAAACAGTGTTAATCAGCAAACATTGCAAAATGTAAATTCTTATCAGGCCCCATGGTGTAAAGTACATTCTCCTACAAACTTGATTTGGCGCTTTCGTGACTGCAGGAATTACTCTTTGGTTATTTCGGTAAAGTCACGTAGAATAACAAAATAATAAATTAAATAACAGAATACGACGTTTCGATTGCAACACAATCAATCATCATCAGGTAAAAATGAAAGAGAAAACAAAACCTAGTAAACTTTAAAATATAATGCAATACAACACAGATAGTCGGTTAACATAACAGTCAGCACCCTACCTGGTTGATTACGTTCTTCCAAAGATTGCTAAAGTTAAGAGAGAGATTAAACACAGAACCGGAGACACATAGACATACACGTAAGCAGAGAGAGATAACACAGAGACACACAGAGAGAGACAAACACATAGGTACACAGAGAAACAACGCCTCTGTGTCGAGGCCTTAAATAGAGAGGGGGGGCAGAGAGAGAGGGGGTAGGGGGTAGAGAAATTAGCATGTCTCTCTCTCAAATTTCACACTTAACTTCTCATTTATCAATCTTTGGAAGAATGGAATCAACCAGGCCATGCGTCAATTGTGTGGTGACCGACTCTCTGTGTTGCATTGCATTACATTTCCAAATTTCACTAAGTTTGTTTGATTTAGTGTGTTTTCTCTCTCTCTGACTCCCCTCGTTTTGTCGCTCTTATTTCCTGCAGTTACGCAAGTTTGAACTACCTCTCAGGGTAGGTTTTAAGTTTTTTTCTCTCTCTCTGTCTTTGTGTTGTCTCTCTCTGTCCGTGTGTCTGTCTTTGTGTCTCCGTGTCTGTGACTTGTCTCTCTCTCAAATTTCACACTTAACTTCTAATTTAGCAATCCTTGGAAGGACGTAATCAACCAGGCCATGCGTTAATTGTGTGTTGACCGACTTTCTGTGTTGCATTGCATTACATTTCCAAATTTTACTAAGTTTGTTTGATTTAGTGTGGGTTCTCTCTTTCTGTCTCCGCTCGTTTTGTTGTTTTGTTTCCTGATGTTGCGCCTGGTCTCTCATTGACAAGCTAATTTATCTACCCCCCCTCCTCTCTCTCTGCCCCCCTCTCTATTTAAGGCCTTGACACAGAGGCGTTGTTTCTCTGTGTACCTATGTGTTTGTCTCTCTCTGTGTGTCTCTGTGTTATCTCTCTCTGCTTACGTGTATGTCTATGTGTCTCCGGTTCTGTGTTTAATCTCTCTCTTAACTTTAGCAATCTTTGGAAGAACGTAATCAACCAGGTAGGGTGCTGACTGTTATGTTAGCCGACTATCTGTGTTGTATTGCATTATAATTCTAAGTTTACTAGGTTTTGTTTTCTCTTTCATTTGTACCTGATGATGATTGCTTGTGTTGCAATCAAAACGTCGTATGCTGTTATTTAATTTAATATTTTCTCTTTCTACGTGACTTTACCGAAAGAACCAAATAGTACATTCTCCTACTCTTACTATCGAGTCTCTCTTTCAGTAGCCTCTCTATGTGCTATGAAAAAGGGCTATTGTGCAAAGTGTTGCATATTCTATATATTACTTTGAAGGCCACAGTGTTATTGGCGAGTATGTTTGTGGAGTTTTGTTTATTTTTTTCTTGTGCACCCATTGCCATGCAGCATCGCCAAATACTGTTTCATACGTTATGGAATGACTGGCCTTGCCAGGTGAGTGTAGATTTTCCACCACAACCTCAGGAACGCAATCAGAGATAGAG